CATAATTCTATAAAGGCTGGGACTGAAAAAGATTAATCCAGCAGCCACGTAATTATTGGGAGTGTGGAAGGACTCCGAATAGAAACAGGGAGAAAATACAGATGCAAAAAGAGATTAGCGGCAAGAGGAAAAGGGAAGATATGTGTGCACAGTTACAGAAAAAGGTGCCTACAAGTGGTTGTGCCTGGGTTTTGTGATAACAGATGACTCCTATCCTACACCATTTTTTTTTTTTTTTTGCATTTGCACTAAATCTTTTTTTTTTTTTTTTTTTTTAAGTTAAGTTGTCTTGGGACCAGCATTCTGGAGCAGCAGGTTAAGCTGCAGCCTGTAATGCCAGCATCCCATACCAGAGTGCAAGTTCAAGTCCCAGATGCACTGCTTCTGATCCAGCTTCCTGCTAAGGCACTTGGGAAGGCAATAGAAGATGGCCCAAGTACTTGGGCCCCTGACATCCATGTGGGAGATCAGGATGGAGTTCCAGCTCCTGGCTTCAGCCTGCCCCAGTCTGGCTGTTGCAGTCATTTGGGGAGTGACTCAGCATAGTGAGTCACTGTGTGGCATAGTGAGTAAAGCCATTGCCTGCAGTGCCAGCATCCTTATGGGTGCCAGTTGGAATCCCAGCTGTTCCACTTCTGACCCAGCTCTCCGATATGGTCTGGGAAGGCAGTAGAATATGGCCCAAGTCTTTGGGCCCCTGCACCTGTGTGGGAGACCTGGAAGAGGCTCCAGGTTCCTGGCTTTGGATCAGCCCAGCTCTGGCCGTTGTGACCATTTGTGGAGTGATGCAGCAGATGGAAGACCTATTTCTCTCTCTTTCTGCCTCTGCCTCTGTAACTCTGCCTTTCCAATAAATAAATAAATCTTAAAAATAGTATTTCAACATTTATTAAAAAATAAATTATCTCAACTACTTTTATAATGTGGAAAAATCAATTTTCCTAAAAGGTGTCAAGTAAATTATTTTATTTACTGTAATATATCTGAGTGAATGAAAGTCATTTTGAAGAAAGAGAGAAAGGAAAGCATGATCTCAAACTGATGGTAAATGACTGTGGCTCAGGTAGGCTACAGATGATGACCTTCAAGGGGCAGAGAAAGACCAGTGAGCTCAGTTCACAGACCACTGAGCAGTTGGATCTGGGTTGAGAAACCCTGCCAGCGAGGTACAGCAGAACGTTTGAAATTTACAAAATGTAGAGACAGTCTAGAACTGATGTTACACAGACTTTGAAAGCTCTGATCTAGATATGATAAACAAACTCATGAACTTGTAAGGAAGAAAACACAGAGCAGGACAGGACTCTAGAAAAGCCAATTCTACACTTGTGTTTAGGGCATGACAGAAGATGAAGAAGAGTGGCGTGTTGTCTTCCAGAAGGAGACATGGGAAGGTGATGACACAGAGCCGTCCTCTCTCTCCTGCAGGTCCTGCCATGGATCCCTAGCTTCTACGTCTCCACTTTCTCCTTTCCATCAATTGTTTCCAAATTAAGTCCTTTCATATCATCAAAAGAAATACAAGAATCTTTTTTAACCTCATGTGTCCTTCCAGACACTGTCCTTTTATCTCCTTTTAAACTTAAAAGACATACTCACTGTTTCCACTTCCTCACCTCCCACCCTACAATTTGTTTTTATCCTCTCTTCAACTTAACAAATCCTTCTGTGTTGCTAAATCTGTTAACCATTTCACAGGGCTTCTCTGACCTTTCTGAAACACTGCCTGCCCTTCACAGCTGTGACTCCACTTCCCTGCTCTCTCTGGTTGTAACTTGCCAGTGGTTATTCTACCTCCTTCCTCTCTGCTCATCCTTAAATGCTGAGCCTTCTCAGGTTCTGTCCCGATTCATCTTTTCTTCTTACCTTGCCGGATTCACTTTCAAACACTCCGTTCTGTATTCTAATTACGGTGAATTTTTGTGTGTGTATGAAATCTCATTGTTTCTTGGCCTTCGAGTACTTTTTTTTTTAACCCCTTTCACAGTCTTACATGATCAGTGTCTCCTAACATATTGAAAACTTTGAAAGAACAAGGACTGTATTATGCCCTTCCAGAGCAGAATATAGCCTGGCACTTGAGCAGTGCTTAATACATTGCTTTTAAGTTAATACAAACAGCTGGCACATATTTTAAAATATGTAAATGCAAAAAGTGCAGATTTAAAAAATTAAAGAGTATTTTCTTTCAAACTGGTCAACTCCAAAAGACACCCAGTTTGTACAAAGATGTGAAGAAATGGGTAAAGGTATTCCATTGTAAATAATAAGCATCTCAACGTTTCTGAGGACAACTGGGCAATATGTACATGGTGCACAGCATAGGCTCTGTGGTCAGAACAAGAAGCAAATTTGCCTGAGTTGTAACTCAACTGCACTCAGAAAGTTACAATTGGGCATCTGTAAATTTCAATTTCCTCACCCATAAAGTAAATCAATAAGATATTTAGTTGAAATATTATAAACCCATTAAAATTAACAAGCAGCTCAAAAAACTTTTACAACTACTTAAGTCAATTTGTTATAGAACCAAGAGATGTATTTGATAAGAATCTTCTACATAAAAAAGATTAAATTTTCTCAAAAGTGTGTGCATGTGTAATTAATTCATCTCACAACTACTTAATGAGCATAGTTTTCAGTATTTGGCTCTATGCTAGGCATATGATCTAGTCACAGGAGACAGGGTAAAGACTGTTAAGTCCCTGTCTGGCAGGGGAGGCAAGGCCAGCTGGTGCCACACAGGCAGAGGTTGAGAGGAGCCTTCTCAAATGAAGGGGAGTCACATGCCTGCACCCAGGGAGGGGAACAGCAGGAAGAGATCAGGGCGCTAAGGGGGAGAAGGGAAGAGTGCAAGGAGTTAAGGCCTGAGGGGTAATCAGGACCTGCCCACGCAGGCTTCTTGGGCCAATGTAAGGATGTGGAGTCTACTCTTAGGAGTGATGTAGGGCCAGTGGAAAGTTCTGAACAGAGCTATGACAGTACCACATATTCATTTAAAAGGCCAACACTAACTATTTTTGGGAAATACAGATTGAAGATGTGTAAGAACAAATGCAGGAAGACCATTTGGAGGCAAGGGATGTGTATGTACGCATACTTAAATTTCTTCGAAAAATTCTGTTTATCTGAGAAGCACAGAAAGAAAAACAGAGCTCCAATCCACTATTTCACTCCCCAAATGTCCACAACCAGCCAGGCTGAAGCCAGGAGCCAGAAATTCGATCTGTCTTCCCTATGGGTGGTAGAGACTCAAATACATGAGTAATCATCTGCTGCCTCCTAGGGTGTGCATTTAAGCAGGAAAAGTTGGAATCTGGAGTGGAGTCAGAACTCAAACCCAGGCACTCCATTATAGGACAGCTGAGGTCTTAACTGTTAAGACTAAATGCCTGTCCCAAGATACATATGCTTATTTGTTTGAGAAGCACGGTGACAGAGAAAGAGAGATGGAGGGAGAGACAGAAAAGAGAGATCTTCCACCTGCTTGTTTACTCCTTAATGCCTGCAGTAACCAGGGCTGGACCAGGCCAAAGCCAGGACCTAAGAACTCCTTCTGAGTCGCCCATGCACTTGGGCCATCTTTGGCTGCCCTCCTAACGCACATTATCAGGGAATAGGGTTGGAAGTGGAGCAGCTAGGACTTAAAGTGGCACTCTGACATGGGATGCTGGCACTGTAAGAAGCAGCTTAAGTCTCTAGGCTACAATGCTGGCCCTTAGCTATTCCACTTCTAAGCTTAATTCAAGGATTTCACTCTGGCTATTCACACATATTTATATAACAGTATATACAAAAGAGGCTGCTTATAACTGGATATAAAGTGATAAGTCTAATAAACTCTGGTACACTCATAAGTTAGAAAAGATGCAGCCATTTAGAAGTGATATTGATATATAATTACATGGGAAAAAACCATAATATATATTTTAAAATTTATTTTAGTGAGTTGCTGTAGCACAGTGGGTTAAAGCCATGGCCTGCAGTGCCAGCATCCCATAGGGGTGCCAGTTCAAGTCCCAGCTGTTCCACTTCGGATCCAGATCCCTGCTAGTGTGCGTAGGAGAACAGTGGAAGATGACCCAAATCCTTAGGCCCCTGCACCCACATGGGAGACCCAGAGGAAGCTCCTAGCCCCTGGCTTTGGTCTAGCCCAGCCTGGTCATTCTGGCCATTTAGGGAGTGAACCAGGGATGAAAGATCTATCTCTCTTTCTCTCTCTGTAGCTCTTTCAAATAAATAAATAAATCTTTAAAAATTTTTTATTTTGTTTATTGGAAAGGCAGAGAGAGCAAGAGCAAGAGCAAGAGACAGAGATCTTTCATTTGCTGGTTCACTCCTCAAATGCTGCACTAGCCAGGGTAGGCCAGGCCAAAACCAAGAACCAGGAACTCCATTTGGGTATCCCATATGGGGCTCAGGGACTCAGAGTAGACACTGTGATAAGGAATTTTGGCATCCTAAACTATGTTTTAAATATTGTGTCAAATACCTGTCCCACTTCGCATTTTCTATAATGACCAAGTATTACTTTAACCAGAAGAAGAGATAAATTTTTTTTATTATTATTATTTTTTTGACAGGCAGAGTGGACAGTGAGAGAGAGAGAGAGAGACAGAGAGAAAGGTCTTCCTTTTGCCGTTGGTTCACCCTCCAATGGTCGCCGTGGCCGGCGCACCGCGCTGATCCGAAGGCAGGAGCCAGGTACTTATCCTGATCTCCCATGGGGTGCAGGGCCCAAGTACTTGGGCCATCCTCCACTGCACTCCCTGGCCACAGCAGAGAGCTGGCCTGGAAGAGGGGCAACTGGGACAGAATCTGGCGCCCCGACAGGGACTAGAACCCGGTGTGCCAGCACCGCAAGGCGGAGGATTAGCCTAGTGAGCCACGGTGCAGGCGAAGAAATAATTTTTAAAATTTAATATTGACACCAGCTTCAACAAATAAGATTATGGAAGAATAACCACTTGTGTCCATTAATAGTTTTGTTTGTTACTTACCATCACTTTTCGCAAAGTGTATCTTTTGCATCGAATGTCATCCATTAGCATTTCATAAGGGGTGAGCTGATATTCAATGGGCAAAGGATTGTACTGTCGCTCCTGAACCTTCTTAAGTTTTACCCCATTCCGTAAATCCCTCATCACCTGTACCCAGAAACGTGCCTGAAAGAACAAGGGTGGAAAGACATCATGAATAAATTTACTAACTTCATCTAAATAGCTATAGCCATACACAATAAATGATGAGCTTGAATTACAAAATACTGAGTACAGGGCCCCCGGCGCTGTGGCTCAGTGGGTTAACGCCCTGGCCTGAAGTGCCGGCATCCCATATGGGCGCCGGTTCGAGACCCAGCTGCTCCACTTTCAATCCAGCTCTCTGCTATGGCCTGGGAAAGCAGTGGTGTATGACTCAAGTCCTTGGGCCCCTGCACCTACATGGGAGACCCAGAGGAAGTTCCTGGTTCCTGGCTTTGGATCAGTGCAGCTCTGGCCATTGCAGCCATCTGGGAAGTGAACCATTGGATGGAAGACCTCTCTCTCTCTGCCTCTCCTCTCTCTGTGTAACTCTGACTTTCAAATAAATAAATAAATATTTTTTAAAAAACACTGAGTAAACCGAATAGAAACTATCTTAAAATTAGATTTTAGGACACTTAAGTGGCGGATAGAAAACCAAGAAAGAATTCACAGGCTATAACTATTGAGGCACAGGGTTTAAAACCTAGCTTTACCACGAGGTAAGGGCAGGTTAGTGAACCTCATTTTAATGTGTCCATTCTTTTTTTTTTTAAAGATTTATTTTTTATTTAAAAATCAGAATGACAGAAAAAGAGGGAGACAAAGAGGAAGTTTCCCTTCATTGGTTCACTCCCCAAATGGTTGTCAAGGCCAGGGCTGGTCCAGGCCAAAGTCAGGCCCCAGGAACTCCATCCACGTCTTCTACATGGGTAACAGAGGCCCAAGTACTTGGACCATCATCTGCTACTTCCAACGTGCATTAGCAGGAAGCTGAGTAGGAAGCAGAGAAGCTGGAACTCATATTGGCACTTTGACATGAGATGCCAGTGTTGGAAGCAGTGGCTTAACCCATCATGCAACAATGTCAGCCCCATTTTTTTAACCTTTATTTATTTTCATCTTGAAAGGCAGAGTGACAAAGCAGAGAGATCTTCCATCCACTGATTCACTTCCCAAATGCTTACAACAGTCAGGCAGAAGACACGAGTCCAGAACTCAATTCAGGTCTCCTTGTGAGTAGCAGGGGCTCAAACACTTAAGCCATCATCTTCTGACTCCCAGGATGCATTTAGCAGGAAGCTGGATCAGAAGCGGATGAGCCAGGACTCAAACTGGCAGTCCAATATGAGCTACCAGCATCCCAAGCAGTGGCTTAACCTGCTGTCCCCCAAGGCTCACCCCAAGGGCAGTTCTTCATACTTCCCTTCCCTGCGTCTCCACTCTATGATGTGATTTTGCTCTCTAAAGAGGAGTCTATTTCACTCCCTCTGACATTGAGTCTGGCAACAAGATTTACCTGGCTGCTAGAATAGTCGTTGGTGTGATGAGACCAAAGGCTTCAAAAGCAATAGGCTAGTCCCTTGTGTTTCTATTATTATCCTGAGAACCTCAAGCCTAGACTGACCTATGTTGGGTGGAGCTGGCACAGGTGATCTGCCAACTTCCAAACTAGATAAGGGCACTTGCTTTGTGATTTGTGACTCTGTAGATATGCAGCATTATTGTGGCCACAGCTGACTGATACTTCACATCCCGCTTCACCTTACAGAGCACCAGTTTCCTCATCATAAATAGTTGAGAAGATTAGAATTGGTCTACAGCGTTGCACACACAGAAAATGCTCAGAAATGACAATTTTATGTATTGATAAACTTTATTCTTATGTCATTATCTTTGCAGATGTTACTTAGTCACAGTTTTCTTATTCACAAATAAGTTGCCTATCTTTAAGAGCTCTGAGAATAAAATGAGATTTATATGAGAGATTTGAGATGAAACATAAATGTATATTATTATTCTGTCCATAACCTAAGGTGTCAGTTTCTACTTCAATGACAAGCCAATCAATATAATATTTAACTGAAATACTACTTAAAACTAACAAATGACTCAAACAGCTATTTTAAGTATATTTATTATAAAACCAAGTACTATATTTCATAAGAATCTTTATAGAAAATAACTGATTAAATTTCTCAAAAAACATCAATAAAAATTTGTGAACAAAAAAAATGCATTCCAGTTCTCATTGTCTAGGTCCAAAAAGGACTGCAGTATATTCATTAAAATGCCTTCTAAAAATATTCATATTTTAAAGATTCTTGGATTCTTCCATTAAAGGTGTTCTAATATAATATCCCTCCATATCTGTTTTTCTCTTTCGGGGATGCTCTTGTCCCAACTTTGCCACCTCCCTTACTCATTCCTTTAACGTTCAGTTGCAATATATCGTTTTAAAAAGTCCTACTTTCTTGACCTTCTCAGTCTTTAGAAAAACCTGATACATAAAACTCTGAACTCACAAAACATATAAATTGAGGACAATCACATTAGAGGCTTCTGTTATAATTTTTGGATTCAAATAGATTTTTAAAAATATCTAGTTCTCTGTGTATTACTGTTTCATAAAAATCTAACATATTACTTTTCAGAAAATCTAACAAATTAATTTTCATTATGATTGCTATATAAAATAACATGTAACTTTCACAGACGTATTCCCAGAGATTTTTTTCATTTACTCCTTAGTCCACCAAAGAGATTCTGAGATATCTGGATTTTGCCACTAAAGACCTTCTAAATTGCTTCTCGGCCTTTTAGGTAACATCAACTGTAGTAACTGTTCTTATCAGTTTAAATACCTTCTAATTCTCCTTCATTCTGCCTTCTTTTCATTCTAATGTTTATAGGTAGTTCACTTTATTAGTCTTACAAGGAAGAAGTTGGAGACCTATGCAAATGTAACTCCTTCTGGAATTGGTACATCTTCAGTGATTAATTTTCAAATGAAGAAATTAAATTTTTATTTCATGTTTTTACTACCTATTTGCTAACTTCTGAACACCTAGAGCTATGTAGCTGGCTTGAATGACCAGGAAAATTTATTTTGAAAAGCTTATTAGCTAAGGTAAAATATACCTAGAACAACACTATTAGAATATTCTCCTATACAAAAAGAAATTGTTAATCTTATTCTTAAATGATAATTGATACTAGCTTTTAGGACAATATAGTCAACTTGGTTTTTAACTTTACTCTGAAAGGTTACTAAATACTATTTGTACTATCTCCATAAAGGAATCTATCGATAAATTAGGAATATTGAAAACAAGAAACAACACAAATGATCACCAACAAATTAATGAACAAATGGTGATGCATTCATACAACAGAATACTGCTCATCAATAAAAAGAAAAAAACACTATTACACAGGTAACAACATAGATGACATTTAAAAACAATTACACTGAATGAAAGAAACTCAACTGGAAACAGGACATACTATATTATTACATTTATGTAAAATCCGAGAAAATGCAAACTGATCTTGGAATTTGTGAGGAGGGAGGGACTTGAAGAAGATTAAGGGTATGAGGAAATTTGGGGAGGTGACAGCTCATTGTTTTGATTGTAGTAATGGTTTCATGAGTACACATATAAATGTGTCAAAACTTATCAAAGTGTACACCCTCAACATGAACAGCTTATTGTATGTCCAATGGACCTCAATAAAGTTGTTACAAAACAATGTGGCAAACAGTTAAAAGCTAATATGGCCAAAAGTGGCCCATTCGTACTCCCATATCTGCATCCATTCCTGTATTCCCTCATTTAATAATGCCATTATTTATCCTGTATCCTTACCTAATATGTGCTTTCCTGATACCTAGACATATCCCACCTAACACTTCCTGTCCCCATGGCTGCCACGCCTACCAAGTTTTCTCTGAGGGCATAGATGCTTGGTGTCACTGGGATTTAGTATCATGGCTGAAAAACAACAGACATCCAAAGTGTGTCATATGTATACCCTGTACTCATCTTTCTCATAAATTTCTATCTTGTTCTACACTGAGTTTTATGAGGGTACAGACCCCAGAGAGTTAATTCTGTATCACAAGGGCCCTAATCCAGTTAACTGTTCATTGGGTAAATTAGTATATAGTTAGATGCAGACCCAATCCTGAAAACAGCTTAAATTTTGATTTGCACATAAGAATTATGTTAAGGTATTGATATAATTAGAAAAGCTAATATTTAAAAATACCCAAATTCCCAGCAACACTAGGGTTCATTCAAATAAAAGCAGAAATCTTTTAAAAATAAGGAACACATATTTCCTCAAGTAAAATCCTAAGCATTCAAATTCACCTATCAATTTATACTACAGTTCTTAATAAGCAGCATCTTGAAAAACAAAATGTTTCATCTATTTCTTGGACACTAAGCAGCTCAGAAAGCAAATCCAGCCACCTTACTTACCCAGTCAGCATTTTTCAGTTCCTCCAGGTCTGTGCTAGACTCATCACTCTTTTCCATTTCCTGAATCTTCTTAAGATTCTACCAGTTAAAATAGAGAGAACAGGCATAAACATTTCATTAAGCTACCTTCTCAAATTAAAATTCATGACAGATACCTTCAGGGAAAATATATACACAAGTATCATTGAAGGAAACGTATACACAGAATCTTTTTGCAAATTTTAAAGTACATTAAAATGAATACCATCTTATGGAGGGATGCACTAAGATTACTAACTCTAATTTCCTTCTAGGCTTTGTGGTTAAATCTTCAGTCACAATACTAATTCACTGCTTTTAAGTTATAGTGATAGTTCACTCTCCCTCAACCCCATGTTCAATCCATCATTAAATCTCATGGCTATTACTTCCTCTATTTTTTTAAACTTAATTAAGTCCTCTATTTTCATCTCCACTGCAAATCCCTGACTGCAAACATCACCATTTGCCTGGGTTTCTGAAAGCCATCTCTGGCCTGGATGCCCTCCTTTCCTCACTCCACACCATTCTCTTGCTGCTTACTTCTCTCGTTTTAGAGATCAAGTTTAAGAGTCACTAGCTATTTAGAGAATCCTAAGTTAAGCTCTCCTATTATAAAATTTTATAGCACACATTCATTTCCTATATAGTACTTACAAACATAGTAATTTTAAACTTATTTGTGCCTTCTCTCTAGAGTTCATGATACAGAATTCCATCTTTAGAAGATAACATAAGCACCAGCACTTCTGAACGCTTGCTATGTGTCTATCAAGTAATTTCATGAATACATTTCAAATGACAAAATGTCTTTTAAATTGCATCAATTCAACATTTGCAACTTAAAAAAATTATGTGTGTATATATGTATATTTATATATTTAAAAAGCAGAAAGACAGAGAGGGAGAGACAGGGGGAGAAACGAACTCCCCTATCCACTGGTTCATTCCCCAAATGCTCACAATGGTTGGGGTTGGAACCCAGGCTGGAGCTAGGAGCTAGAAACTCTATCCAGAAATGAATCTTAGGGGCCAGTGCTGTGGTGCAGCAAGTTAATGCCCTGGCCTGAAACGCCGGCATTCCATATGGGCACCGGTTCGAGACCCAGCTGCTCCACTTCCGATCCAGCTCTCTGCTATAGCCTGGAAAAGCAGTGAAGATGGTCCAAGTCCTTGGGCCCCTGCACACGCATGGGAGACCTGGAGGAAGCTCCTGGCTCCTGACTTCAGATCGGTGCAGCTCCGGCCATTGTAGCCATCTGGGGAGTGAAATAGCGGATGGAAGACCTCTCTCTCTCTCCTCTCTCTGTGTAACTCTGACTTTCAAATAAATAAATAAATCTTAAAAAAAATGAATCTTAATGAAGAATGGGATGGGAGTGGGGATGGGAGGGCAGGTATGGGGGGAAGAACCACTATATTCCAAAAACTGTACCTATGAAATTTATATTTATTAAATAAAAGCTTTCTAGAGAAGAGAAGAGAAGAGAAGAGAAGAGAAGAGAAGAGAAGAGAAGAGAAGAGAAGAGAAGAGAAGAGAAGAGAAGAGAAGAGAAGAGAAGAGAAGAGAAGAGAAGAGAACTCTATCCAGACTCAACTCCCATGCTGGTGAAATGGACCCAACTACTCAGGCCATCACTTGCTACTACCTCTAAGGATCTGCATTTTGCAGGGAGCTGGAATTGGGAGCCAGAGCTGGAAATCAAACCCAGTACTCCAGTACGGAATGTGGGCATCTTAACCACAAGGACAAATGCCCATCCCAAATTCACATATCAATTCTGTATTATGGTATACCATTACTACTCACAGTAATTCAACCCTAATTGCTTGCTTGCTAGTAGACTAAATTTAAATGCAGTGTGTGAAATGTATGTCAGGATAATGGATACTTAATATGAAACATTTCTGAACTATTTATTTTTAGCTTCTCAAAATCTAGTATTAACCATCTGCAAAATGAGGATCATACCACACCACCTGTTGTTTTGTACTTAGTAGCATAAAGGCTGGGGATGGCATTGTGGCACAGTGGGTTAAGCCACTACCTGCGGTGCCAACATCCTACATGAGCTCTACTCCTGGCTGCTCCACTTCCAATCTAGTTCCCTGCAAAGCAGCGGAAGATGGTACAAGTGTACAGGCCCCTGCTACTCACAGGACAGAACCAAAGGAGTTCAAGACTCCTGACTTTGGCCTGGCCCAGCCCCGGCCACTGCAGCCACTTGGGGAGTGAACCACCAAATGGGAGATTGATCTATTTATCTATCTCTTCCTTTCAAATAAAATAAATCTTTAAAAATATATAAAGGAGTATTCTGTATACAGAAAGAATAAAATTACTGTGAACAGTTGAAGAAAAAGTAGTATAAATAATGCATTATCTTTCCTGCCCAGGAAAGAAATTATAAATAAGAAGCACTTCTGGTTGTTTCAGAATGTGTTTACATAGTTATTTTAAAAAGAAAAGTCCACTTTCCTGCTTGATACAATATCATGAGACACTTCTACTTCCCAGTTATATGGTTTTATTTAAGTAGCCCTCTTTGGGCCTTCTGTTCATCCCTAGAAGGAAAATATCACCACCTACCTCACAATGATGTGACTATTAAAGGAATAATGTAGTAAACTATTACAACACTGCTTGGTACAGAACAGGATGGTTCTCAGGATAATTCCCTCTATCTCTCAGGGTAACTCCCTTAACCTTTCCTTTTAATTTATTACAGTATAATAAATCACAATACATTATCCCACACTACGTATCAGACCTAAAGTATCATCAGTTCAATGTAGCAGAAGCTTGTGTTGACCACTCTGGGAAAAAGCAACTCCAGAAACATACATCTCTCCATTCTCCTCTACGCTATTCCTAACCCTGCTCCTCATTTCTCACCCAGAACCTGGCATTTTCCAAAGCTCCTGGCTGTTGGTTTTGCCTGTGGTCATGGCAGCTAACAAGCACTAAGCTATAAGCAACCATCACTCATCCCAACCACACTCACCTCATCTGAGAAACTGGGGCTCATAAAGAAAGCTAAATAACACGGCTGGGGTGTCCCTGAGGCGAAGGGTGGCCCAGGCTCTTTCTGGAGAGGGCAGGGTGTACAAAAGGGGCAGCAGGCAACGAGAAGGGCAGTCCTGGAGGCAAGGGAAGCTTCCTGAAGCCTGCCCCCAGGGGCAAGAAAACAGCCAGATGAAGTTCACTTTGTGGTTTCTAACGTGAACATTTGTGAATACTTGTTCATTCTTGATATTATATATGCAAAGAGAATAGAATTTATAACAGGTCTTTGCAGAAAATGGATACTTACTAACTGGCATGACATTACACCAAAATCTGAGTAGTAATCTAAATTTATTACTAAACTAGATTTCACCATTTTCTATCTTTAAAGATGTGCCAGATTGGTATATATAATATTTCCGATATTCAAAAATCTCTTTTACTAAGAATTTATTAGGTATCATTTAAAAAAAACTCTGATGATTTAAAGATGTAGTTTTTGACTCAAGTCCACAATTTTGTAAAAATATAAATATAAAAATATATAATAAAAATATATAAATATAATAAAAGGTTTATTTATTTATTTGAAAGTCAGAGTTACACAGAGAGAGAATTCCACCAGCTGTTTTACTCCCAACATGGCCACAACAGCCAGGGCTGAACCAGGCTAAAGCCGGGAGCTTCGTCAGGGTCTCCCATGTACCAGGGGCCCTAATACTTGGGTCATCCTCTGCTGCTTTTCCCAGGCCATCAGCAGGGACCTGGATCGGAAGTGGATCAGCTGGGACATGAACTGATGCCCATATGGGATGCCGGCATCACAGGCAGTGGCTTTATTTGCTATGTCACAACACTGGCCCCCAAGTCCACCATCTATCTTCATGAAATATCAAAATCACAAAGCAGGAGTAGGGATTTGGCCTAGAAGTTAAGATATCCCCATCCCACAACAGAGCACCTGAGCTGAAATCTAGTTCTGCTCCGGATTTGAGCTCCCTGCTAATGCAGCCTTGGGAGGCAGAGGTGATAGCTCAAGCCATTGGGTTCTTGTCATTTTGGTGGGAGACCTGGATGGTATTTCCAGCTCTTGGCCCAGCCCTGGCTGTGGCAGACATTTGAGGAGTGAACCAGTGGTAGCATTCTCTTTCTGTCTGCCTCTGTCTCTCTCTTTTTTTAAAAAAAGATTTATTTATTTACTTAAAAGGCAGAGTTATAGAAAGGCAGAGGCAGAGAGAGGTCTTCCACCCACTGGTTCATTCTCCAAATGGCCACAATGGCCAGAGCTGAGCAAATCAGAAGCCAGGAGCCAGGAGCTTCTTCTGAGTCTCCCACTTGGGTGCAGGGGCCCAAGGACTTGGGCCATCTTCTACTGCTTTCCCAGGCCATAGCAGAGAGCTGGATTGGAAGTGGAGCAGCCAGGACTTGAACCAGTACCCATAGGGGATGCTAGCACTGCAGGCAGCAGCTTTATCTGCTATGCCACAGCGCTGTCTCTTGAAGAAAAAAGAAAAACCAGAGCTGAGTGAGGAGGAAAAAAGGAGAGACACAGGTGTTTATTTTGTTCTGTTATTGGACTCTATCCAAAAAAGACTTAATAATTTACCATATATTTTTCTACTGACTACCAAAATCTTCCTTCTAGCTTTTATAGTGAAAATGGGGAGAAAAGAGATTCCAGGATGTGAACTATCTCTGGGCATCCTGGGACCCTGGGACCCTGGGACCCCGTCCAGCAGGTTCAGCCATGCACAGCAGCAGCACTCTCCATGCGCAGGACAGCTGAGAATAAATGCTTCATCTCCACCTAGCTCTTCCCATTCCAACCTGAGGGCACCTGCACTGGTTGCTCCCTCTTTCTAGAATGTCTTACCTCAGATATTCAAGAGCAAATTCCCTCACATCTCTCACATTCTTGCTCAAATGTCTTCTCAATAATGCCAACCCTAACTAAATTCTAAGCTCCATCCTCAGCCACTAGGAATCCCCCCAAGTCTATTTCATTTTCCAAAGCTCATCCTGTTCTTTTAACAGTCTGTATGATTTACTTGTA